AGAACAGGCTCTCTTCTCTTCCGGAGTGAGAGTTCCCGCTGGACCCACAGCTGCCAGGTCAGAGACCGCATTTCCCAGTAGCCCTTGCAGCTGGGTCTGCCCTGCGACTAAGATCTTGCTGGTGAAGGTCAAGTGGAACTGACATGTGCCAGTGCTGGGTCTGGTCTTAAAACACCTGTGCATTTGTTCCCGTTCTTGTAAACGCAGAGGCGCCTGTGAGTCAGCTTCCACCGTGCAGACCAAGTCCTAGGTCACATGGCGGTGCCGCAGGACAAAAGGAGCAGGACCCCTGAGTGCACGGAGCACAGCAGTGCTCTGGTCTGAACCACTCCCTCTGCAGCTCTTAAGTGAAAGAGAACTAAGTGTCTATATTCTTTAGGCCGTTGTATTTTGGGGCCTCTGTGTTAGAGCAACATTGCCTTTGCGAAATGGAAAAAAGCAGGTTTCAAAATAGTATACAGTAGGATCTTATTTCTTACAAAAAAATGTACACACACAAACACGTTCACATGAAGGTCTGGAAAGACAGACACCAAAACGCTCTGGTAATTATCTCTCGCTAGTGGGAATTATGGATATTGTTTTCTTTTCTTTGCTTATCCACATTACCTAATTTCCTATAAAAGGAACACATGTATTTCTTTTGTAATTAAGAAAGCAAGCCTATGATGGAGATGAGAGCCAAGAATTAGATGAGAATGAGTAATGCATTAAGTAACAACCCATCCCACATATGGGGGCTGACAGAGCTTGCTGGCATCCCGGGCTGGCTCCCAGGCTCAAGGCCTCTTATTGCCCTCCCCGCCTCCCCTCACGGCCCCCCTCATCCCCCAGCCCCGAGGGGCGCTTCACTGTTTTGTCTCCATCAAGCTTGGGGAAGCATGAGGCGGACGAAGCCTGCTGCTGGCAGGACCTGCCTGTTCTCTTAGCACCAAACCACAGCTCACCGCGTCCCAGAGGACAACCAGTCTCCAGCTGAAATTTCAAACTCAATTAGCACAGAGACAGGCTGGAGCTGTTCTTGAGCAACTGATCATCTCAAAGCTGCCAAGAAAATGCTTTACCTGGGATGTGCCTGTGAACTTTAAGGTGTCTCTCTTCAAGTACTAATAATAGGGAGCAGCCAACTTGCAATTTAAAACTCAACTTGAAAGTGATTTTTTTAGGTTCCTTTCCACTAATTAAGGAGCTGGGATGGGGATGAGAGTGGAGCAAGGATGGCAGAGACTGGGGAAGGAAAACTGCCTGCCCCAGAAAGTGAAGCCTAATTATTCCCCGAGCAGAAGTGGAGGGCTGGCAGCAGGCAGGATTGTCCGCGAACCCTCTGCCTGGCCCATCTCTGATGCGCAGATCGCGCAGCCTTGAACGAGCTCTGCGTTGGAATGGCCCGGCCGGCTGCACTGGGCAAGCGAGCAAGCGGAGTGCACTTGGCCCACCCTAGCCTGTCAAGCGCAGGACAATTAAAGCTCGCCAAGAGCATCTTCGGCAGGCCAGCAGAGGTGCAGTTGAGCAAGGGGAGTCGGCATACTTTGTCCTCCAGCCTACAGACCTCACGGCCCAGTGACGCCTCCCCTTAGGTTGGTGGAGGTTCCAGATCATGTGAGAATCCTGGTGGCTGAAGCTGTCGTCCCTTCTCCTCCCTACTAGGGTGACCTTAAAAGGCTCTCGATTTAGCATCAGGCCCACACTCTGACACTCTAAATGCAATGGAGTGTTTGCACGTTAACGCTGAAAGATCATCATTTCATGCCTGCAGCTTTCTGTCAGTGGTGTGAAGTATAAAAACATCACTCGATACCAAAAGGCCAGTTCCCAGTTTAGTTGAGGAAAAAAATCTGGACAGCCTTTCACAGACTTCCCCATTCCATTCTGTCAGTCCCAACGGCTGCCCCATTGATTAACAGTGACCTGGCCCCAGAAAGTATGGGGCCAATGCATCCTCGCCTATCGTGGCAGAGGAGCATCTGCGCCAGGGATTTCCAAGTTGGGGCTGAGAGCACTTCTCGGGCAGTGCTCGATGCAGCCCCCTTGGCAGGGCAGGGACCGGTCCCTCTGCCTCTGGGGAGGACTTCGCTGCTGAGTAGCCACAGAGCTCCACTACACGGTCAGTCCGATATCCAGCCCCTCGATTTACTGCTGTGAGACCCTCTGGCTGGTTCCGCATGTATACAGCAGGGAACACACCACGTGCCCACCTGGGATTAAACTAGACGACGTACGTAAAGAGCCTGGCACAGGGTGGAGCTGAGCTGTTGGGGGAATAATTAAGTCACATAAAATACCTCCTAGGTCTGGCCTAGAGACCACCCTTGGACAGTCTAAATAATGTTTGGACGGCCATGTTCCTCTCTGTGAGGGGTCCAGGACCCGGTGACCGCGCTGACACCAGCAGCAGGTCTCCCAGCTTCCCTCAGAATCCACCATCTTGGAACTGATCCCAGTCCACCTCCCGTCTCCATTTTTGCCAACTTCAGGTCAATACATTCTCTATATTTTAATAGTTGACACACAAAGCCAGTCTCTCAGGTCTGTCTCTCTAAGCACCACGCTTTCGGAGACTTGGCAAACAAGCCCCTTGCCCTTCCAGCCCCTCACCTTTCCAGAGGTCAGGACATTCCCTTTCAGCTTTCCCCTCTCGGGGGGAAGAATGACAATGTCAGAGATGGGAAGGCCTTAAAGGTTGCCTGGTCCAAGTCTTGTATTTTTTTCCCTTCTTTTAAGTACGGAAAGTTAAAAAAACAGAAAAATAGCATCATCAGCCATGTATCCGACGCACAGCTCAGTAGTTAGCAACTCACGGCCAATCTTGTTTTGTCTATAAACCCCCAGCCCCTCCAACTCTCCTCCCTCAGCATCACTGGACTATCAGCCCTGCATCTTACAGGAGAGGAATGGGGGTATACGGAAGACGAATGACTTGTCTGACTGCTACAACCAGGAGCAGGAGGCCAGAGTTCACGCCCCGACCACGCGCATCTACCCCCAGGCACTGGCCTCCCCCTGCGCTCTATGCTATAGCCACACTCTGTCTGTGCTATTATTTATTTAATATTTTTCTTGGTCTCAATTTTTTGCCTACATAACATTTGTTTAAAATGGAAACTTTATATTATAACCGTAAATGAGAAACAGGAATGATTTGCCCCTAATAGAAGGTATTACTAAAGATGACACAGAGAAAACAAAACCAATGTCATTAAATTCTAAGTGGAAACTAGCGCCTGCCCAAGGCTCTGAACTCAAAGCCTGCTCTCTTGAAAACGGAGCTTGGCGGGAGTTAAGAGACGGTTGGTACCAACAGGGACGCGCTCAGATTTGCTGCAATCAGGAGGCTTCTAACAGTTAAAAACCCAAAGAGCTTCCTCATAATGTGATTTACTGTTACCATAATTTCATCAACCGTCAGAGGGCTGTTTTTTCCCATTTGAACATCTCTGATGTGTGCTGTCAGCCAGCTGGCAGTCACAATGTACTTGTCATCTACACATACTCCAACCTGGTCATAGCTGGTCGTACTGTCGTCACTTCACATGAGCTCTGTGTACCTGCAGTCCTGCAGGGGGTCAGTCTACTTGCCGTTTAAATGTCTTCAAAAACACGCAGCGATAAGACAAAATGTTATCATATACCCAATGTCCTCAATTCCATATCTTCTTGCAAAGCAACAAACAAGTGGCTTACAAGACCAAAGACACAAAGATTCCCACGAGTCAGTGAAACTGTGTTAAGTTCTGTTACTGGGAGCCCTGTAAAGGGGTCGCCTGTCACATGCTAGACAATAAGACTTAAGGCAGGAGAAACTGCCAACCCCCTTGGAATAGATGAAAGAAATTTCAGAGCAATGAAAGGCTGGTGTGACTGATTCATGTGTCATACAGGATTATCATTAAGGCCTGTGCCATGGCTTAACTGGCAGCATGTTTTTCTTTCCTAGTGGTTCATAAAATAATGGTGCATTTTACGAGCAATGGCATCTTAAATGTGATGAACCATAGTATTTAATCTAAAATCACCGACGGTATGGAAACCTTCCTGCAGGGCACCACACTGCCTGTCATCATACTTCCCCAGACTGGGCACTGAAAAGCAAGGCCATCTCTCAGAGAGAGTAGTGGTTCTCAGACTCGGGCCCACAGCAGTCACCGGGGAGGCTGGTCAACAATCAGGTTGCTGGACCCCACCCCCAGAGTATCTGAGTCAGCTGTTCTCAGGTGGGGCCCGAGCATCTGTGTTTCTAATACGCTCCCACAATGCGGATGATGCTGGACCACACTTGGAGTGGCACTGTCCTGCCATTTCCTATCACTAAATCCCTTCCATCCTCTGGCTTCTTTCAGCCTGGTGGGGGTAGGTGGGAGAGTCTGGGTGGTATCAGAACCTGGCTAGGAACCACCCATTCTTTTGGACATCTCAGAAGGCAGCATCTCTCTGTCATTGTTCATTGCAAAGAGAACATTATTTGTAGCATAGGCTGCGCCAGGAAAGCTCTGGGAAAATCCCCCACCCTTCTCAAGACCTTCAGCAGGTCACTGCTTCCTCATAGAAATAGCTTATGGCTTTAAATGTTGTGGTCAAGGCCCTGAATGAACTCAGCAGACTGGGCTGGGATCTGTCCATGGTAATATTCAGGACAAAACATGAGCAAACAAGCCAGGCACACCTGTCACACCCGCTCACACGTGTTGTAGCTGGTGGCGGGCAGATTCCGTTCCCTTTGGTATGTGTGTGTTACTGGTTTAGTAAAAAGAAACATCTGTGTGCTTTTTTCCCCAAAAAGAACAATCCATTTTTCAAGCCGCCAAAACGTCTTTGAAATGGAATATTTGCCAACACTGCCCTCTCTCCTGAAAGCAAGAAGCAGGGAAAATGTGTCCTTAAAAAGAACTATGTTTTAAACACAGACATTACTAATTTTTTTTCTTTTTTCTTCAAAAGGCCCAGATCTGTTCACTGAACTGAATGTAAAAAGCGCTTTAAAAGAAACAGGAGACAAAGCCCTGTCCCAGGTACAAAAGGTTTACTGCTTATAAAAATAAGTTACAGAACAAAACAAGCCCAGCATGACAATAGGTATGAACACAGGGGCTCATTCAAACTCTAAGGGTTCGTGAAAATGACTTAGAACACGGCTCCAGGAGGATCATGCACCAGTATCGCTAACATACACAGAAGAGCACGCTGCACAGCTTCCTTACGGTGAGTTCTAAAATGGTCTTCCTGGCCTTCCATACACTGGCTACAGCGTAAAGTCAGCCCCAACAACACAGAGATGGAAGCTGTTCTTCACGAGGCTCAGCCTTAACGTACCACATGCTGTTTTACAAAAGGGAAAGAGTGGCTGTATTGCTGTCTGGGCAGTAAAGATGTGGCTGAGCCACCAGTACTACTCAGGGCTTGTCTGGGAAGGTTCTGGACGGGGCTCTGCAGGCTGGCATGGGGCTGGGCTGTGGTTACTGCCGGCAGGTGTCGTGGAAGGCTTCGAGGGTTCGGAAATCCCGCCACGTGGGGGGAAGGCCATCTTGTAGGAACTTCCCGCATCGCTGGCACGGGGCCTGGAACAGCTTTATGTAACTTCTTAACCAGGTCTAAAAAGAGAAGTGAGGAAAGAATGAAAGAAATGGGATCCGGGTGCTTCCAATGTCATCCTTCCTGTCAAGCCTAATGATCTTGCGGACAGAGAACTTAAGCTGGCTGTGACCCCTGAAGATACCCTGTGCTTTTACAGAAAGCTGCATGCAGAATCCACAAGGTCATAACACTGCTGATTTTTAGTTCTGGCGCTCCCCCAGCCCCTCCCAACTGAGGCAGTTTTTAAAATAGAAATTCCTACTCTCAAAGGCAAGAAGTGCTCCCGAAGGAGTGGCTGCGAACTACTGCGCAGCCTTGTGGCTCACGGGCTGCCATAACCACGTTTCATCTCTAAGCCTCCTGTCTTCTGAATATTGGTATTGATCCTCTCCTTGTTCACACCAAGAAGTGGTCACGGACATGTGCGGTGCAGACTGCGCACAGATGAGGATTTTAGAATTCTCCACTGAGGTCAACACGCCTTCTTTCTAATCTGATTTCAGAGGTCATCACTCACTGTCACAATGCGGCCCAACACACCTAAGGGGAGGGCGGGGACAACCTAGTGCCACCAAATAACATAATAAGCAGCACGGGCACACTCAGTGGTTCAGAGTGCAGAGCTCCTTTGGGCATCATACATAAGGATGAGACTAACATAACTCAATTCTCAAACTCAAGGAGATTCGCTACCAAAAAATAAATAAATAAGCAAACAACCTGAACCCCACAATAGGCAAGCAAGTTAAGCAAGCTCTCACTTTGACAGAGGCACATGAATCTCATCATTTACTGTCCTCCTGAATTATGTCGACAAGAGAAAATTGTTCTTTGAAGAGGTCGGCTGAATTTACTGGTACAAACCCTTCTGTCTTCATCACAGCTGCTTCCATGGCAGCAGACTGCGGCCCATCGATACTGCGCCCCTTCTGAAAGGCTACGTGTTTGAGGTTTTTGGTAATAAGCACAAGGAGGTCAATGGATCATTCAGTTAAACTATTTATCCTTTGGTGCTGATCAAATTCAAATCCTCCAAAAATCCCAAAGTCAGTTACCAGAGGGAAACTGGGCATTACAACACGTTAGGTTAAAAAGCAGTCTTTGTATCTATCCAAAAACGAAGAGCTCGCTGAAGACTGTCAATCGAGTTGTTCTCTTGGCACACGGAAGAACTGTGTGGATGGCTCTGCTGTGCACCGGGTTTGCTTGCTCAACTCCTCCAGCGCTGTGAGCCTCATCAATACGCCGGGCTTGTGCATTCCGAGAAATGAACCACAGGCTCTCCAAGAAGCTGAATTGTTGGGGCAAATGTGACTGGATGAAATCGGATGAGCAATACTCCACCTAGCTGTCAACACTGATTTGGACTTGCTAACAGGTAAGTCTTTTGAGTAGGTTCTCTAACTGGCAGCCTTTCTAGCATGAATTAAAAAGGGAGTTTTCGCAGCAGTGAAAGATGGAGCCTACTGATGGGAGAGCATGAAGCCATGTCAGCACAACGTTGAAGCAGCTGGCCGGTTCTGTCAGGAAGTGGTGGAGCCAGTTCTTGGCCCTGGATATGCCAAATGGCAGTCATGTGATAAATTCAGGCAGCAGCATGCTGATGAACTGGTTCTGGGGGTGGGGGTGGGAGTCCTTACTTGTAGCGTTTGCTGATTTCCTCTGTGTAAATATTCTGGTCTGATTTCAAGCTACCAATGGTTGATCAACCAGCTTGCAAAATTCTGAACATTAAACAGGAGCTGGCAGGAGCCGACTCCAGCACATCAGTGGAACGGCTGTTTCTGGGTTGCTCCCCATCCTGAGTTCCAACTCTGAAAATTTAAGGACTAAATGTCTTGGGGGAACTGCAAGATTTGTCTTAGTCACTGCTACCAGCTCAGCACCAAGCACAGGCCTGGACAGACGAGGAGCTCAACAAATACCTACTGACAATCAATGTCGGACACCGTGTTGCAGGGTCACTTCTGAAACACCACTTGTTCAGCAATGACAGGAAACCCTAGGTAATTAAGCAGGAAGTGGTCTCTCCTAGAGCCGCTCCCAGTTTAAAGAAGTTGTCAGTCCTAAACTGGTCCATCTCCCACGGTGCGGCCCTCACGATCTGAAGACCTTCTGAGCTGCTTGTTCTCACTTGACTGGAGGCAAGGTTTAAATGGGAGACTTGGCTCTTAAAGCCACTTACCATGAAGGATCTGACCACGACGTCTGGCATCTGGGGCAGCTGATAGTGGAGCAGGGCAGTGGTGGCATGATCGGTCACCTGGGAACCAAGGACAGTGACTGGAGTTAGAGGCCACTCCAAACCAGCAGAGAGAATGCAAACCAGCAAGACCAATGCATTCCCTTCAGATGACAGACAAGTCTGCTTTTGAAGGCTCCTGGAGACAAGGACATGTAAAATAAAATCTGAAGCACGAACGTTAGTTAGCAGAGTCGGGGAGGAGGAAGGGGAGGTGGTGTGTCGTAGGCAGGAAAAGTGCAGGTATTCAGGCCTGGAGGCAAGTGGAGTGTGGAACATTCCAGCAATTGAAAACCCAGGCAGGCTGGAGCCCCTGAAAGAGGAGGAGTGTGGCCAGAGGCCAGTGGAGAGGCAAGAGGGGGAGGGTCACTGAGGGGTCTATAAACCAGGTCACTGCATGAAACACTGTGTGACTGCAAAGGGCTTTTCCACTCTCCGCAGTCTGCTTCATCTTTACTGGAGCCATTTTCCTGGTAGTGTAATTGGTCTGTCTGTTTAGTTTACTTCTCAAGCTGTCTCATAATGTGTAGCCATACAGATTTTATGATCAGGAATCCAGTAATTTCTGACCATCTTCCCCTTGGGCCTGATGGTTCCCATTATTACGTTCTGAGGAGCCTTCCCACTCACAGCGCGGGCCTCTAGCCAGCTCTCCCAATGCTGTGGGCTACTTTCAGCCCCCTAGTGGGCCACACCCACTGTCCCCTAACTCCGAGTACAGACTTCAGCAGCAGGGCCAAGGGCACGACTGCTTTAAGACCACTAGAGGCAGCCGGTGACCAGAGGGAAGCACACTGCGTTTACACCCCAGCACAGTCTGCTGACCTTGATCCAACTACTTAATCTCTCTGGGTCTCCATGTCCTACTGACAAAGGGCTGCTCTAAGATGCCTTGGTGTTGTTCAATTTGATGACACCACGGATTGCTAATGCCGCCATCAATCAGCAAATTAATAGATTATACCTAATTTGATAGCTGTGTTCAAACTCATGGTTTATCTCATTGTCCTCATTAACGATTCTTCCCATTACAAATGTGGTTAAAAAACAAAAGAAACAAAAAACCCCAGACAAAATTATTAACGTGAACAAGAATAAACCTGAGTCCACCTTGCGTAGCCCTGTCAGTTCTCCAGCCCCGACCAGAGCACTACGTGACGTGCTAACGGACCTAAGCCGCAGTTTAGCAAACTCATCAGGGGCAACCAGAAGGGCTGGCCCAGGCCCCGCATGGAGACTTGCAAATCATCTGGGAATTAGTCCAGCTGTGTGTCCACCCAAGGCCAGAGAGGCCACACCCGAAAGAGCGAGGACACAGGCTCCACAGCTTACAGACCCTCTCTAAGCCTCAGCTTGCCCCTGGATAAAATAGCTGTGCCAGTGAAGTGGTGACCCTCCAGCTGTGCCGCAGCCCTGCCTGCCTGCCCTTCTCTTCTGCTCTCCCTGGCCCCTGGACTTGCCCTCTTCCCCAACTGGAGTTTCAGGGCCTGCCTGGGGGCTGGTGAACCCCACTGAACGATCACTCCGTGGGGCAGGGGTCTGGTTCATGCTGCGTCCCCAAGCCCCAGAACTTCACTCAGCATCTAGCAGGTGCTCAAGACATATTTGTTTGAATGAAGAAATCAACTTAAAAATGCCCACTCACCGTAGGCCACGTACTAGAAACACTTGCACTGGCTTTCTTGCAAATATAGCAACAGTTCATGTATGCAACATTGCTGAGAAATTCTTACCCAAGTGACTTTCAAGATAAATGGTACTTATTCCTTCAAGTGCAAAGAATGTTAAACATTTTTAACAACAACTTTCTAAAATGATCAATGCTGTTTTAAAAAAAAAGGTAGTAATGATAACTTGGCAAAACGGCGGGTGGTGACTGGTGCGGTGAAATTAACTGCTATAAAACACAGTGAAGGAAATTGGGTCTCAAGGGTACCTGAGCTTAAAAGCTTGGTTCTTGCCATCCAGATGCCTCTCTAAAAAAATCCCATGGGCTGATAAGACCATCCTTACAATCACATTTTCCATTACAAAAGAAACAAAGTTTATAGAAAACTCTTTCTCCTGCCCCTACCATTTATTTTACAATGACTCTAACAAAGCCCCGCCCCATCCATCAGTGCTGTCATAGCAGGAAGCCAGGCTGGCTTTGCAGGTGCCCCACTGTCCCTTCGTTCTGGGTGTACTACTTTCCCAAGACGGGGAAGGTCCATCTCCAGCCTGGAGTCCCCTGAGATGAGCCCAGATCTGTCCATTTCAGCAGCTTGGGCACCTGGCCTGGGCCCAATCCCCCATCACACTGACCACCCAGAGGCCACGTCCAAGGCTAGAATGCTCTGCTTAGCTGCACATTTTCCTTGCTTCTCCTTTTACAATTTTTAACACAAATGACCCACACAAATTCAGGAAACTTTATGCAACTTGGATCCCCAGCCTCTCTGAAGCGCCAGGAGATGCAGGGGCGGTAATAGTGTGGCTGCCTCATGGGTTGCTGTGAAGATCAAATGAGTCCAACCACGTGATGTGCTCGGCGCAAGGCCGGGCTCCTAATTATCACGCTGACTGTGACCTGGCTCTGCCCACCAGCCCCCACATATCCAAGTGGCTGCCATCAGCCGTGGGAGCCAAGGAGGGACAGTGCCTGTGAGCAGGCACGCACCTGCGGCTTGCCCAGCGCCTCCAGGGCCTTTCACACAGCCTGCGTCACTCACGCTACCTGCCTGGCCGCTCTGGCCTTTGGAATTTAGGGCCTCCACCAAACACTGCCGAGAATCTCTGCCCCTAAGCCTCCTGTGTGCCGGGTGCCCGGCCTGGCAAACCTGTGCCCGTCTCCTCCTCCCTTCCTTAGCTGACCTCTGGACTTGACCTCTTCTGGCTGAGTTTTGAGAAATGCAAGGTGCTGAGCCAGGCAAGGCATCAAGCTAATTACAGGAGCATCAAAAGTGCTCTTCAGACCTGCTTCTCCTCCTGCGTTCTTAGCAAGGGCACCACCATCCACCTGGTGGTCTTGGGTGGCCCAGGCCGGAAACCTGGGCTTGTCCCACTGCTCATACTCAAGTCATCTCCGAGTCTCGACGTTCCAAGCCATTCATCTTGAATCCTTCTACTTCCTCCCACTTCACTGCCGCCCCAGTCTAAGCTGCTGCCCTTTCCTGTTGGGATGACCAGAAGAGCCCCAACCAGCTCCTCTCCAGGGGAAAATGAGATCTTCACCTATCACGTGGGATGACTGTGAGGATTAAGTAAAATAACGTGATCATGCACATCAGTGACGACTGAGTTATAAATCTAACTATGTCACCCCCTGCTGAAAACCCTCTCAGAGCACGTGAATGCACTTAGGACAGAATCCAGAGGTACGAACTTGGCATTCGAGACCCTGCAGGACCTGGTTCCTGCCTCCTCTCCTCTCCCCACTTCAGAAAATGTTTCAGTTGCTCAAGTGACCCTATTCCTCCTTCAGAGCCTTCCTTCTGCTTGGGCCTCTCCTTCCCTCCCTTCTCTGGCCTAGCTCCTATTCCTCTTACTGGGCCTGGGTGAGATCCATATGCTCAGGGAAGCCTCTCAGAATTCCTCAGTTGGGTCATGTCTCCTTGCTGAGGTCTTTTCTTTCACATCACTCCTCATGACTGAACTTGTACAATTATTTTTGAAATATCTCTTTAGTGTCAGCTTTCCTAACTTGACCGTGAACTCTGAAAGGCCAGAGACCATGTCTGTTTAGTGCCTGGCATAGAGGTTCTTGACACGTGTGCTGACTGGATGGACAATCCATCCTGTCCCTGAGACAGCCAAGGGGACTGGCTCACATGAGGTGTGTGGGGCAGAGAAAGCAGCCCCCACGAGGTGGGGATGAGGAGACAGGAACGAAGGACTGGGGTCTCTGGTCTACCCCCAACCTGCTGGGAATGTGGACTTTCCCTCTGCACTGGGAGTTACTCGGGCTCATAGGGCTCACTGCCTGGTTTGCCTCCCCTTTCCGGCACGTGGGAACTCTCCAGCCTCCTTTGTAGACAGGTTGGGTCCCGCGGCCAGTTCCAGCTACTGCCTCCGGGAGCAGAAGGGGCGTGTGTTCCTTCCATTTGGAGACAGTGAAAAGCAAGTGCGGATTCTCCATGATGTCCCTTCTCGTGTGATGTGGGGAGCCACACACGCAGATGGGGGATTCATAAGGTGGTGAGCCTCTGTTAAGCCTGTGTCCCTGAGTGACTGTGTGGAGCCCAGCCATCTGACAACTCAGGATGGGTGTGCTGTGAGCAAGAAATCAACTTTGGTTGTGCTGAACGACAAAACCTCTGAAGTTGATTTGTTACAGCACCACTGCCTCTGCTCTGCAGACTGACGGAGCCTCCCCGGACACTTACTTCCTGTCTATAAGATGTGCCACGGTGTCTGCCAGGCCTCTGATTCCTGTAGGTGGGGGCACACGTAAGTTCAAGCTGTGGCCAAGGAAATTTCCCCTCTAGAATGGCGCTGCGTGAAACGGGCGTCACAGTCTAGCAGTGTTGGCATCACCTAAACATTTCTCAGAAACTCAAGTTCTTGGTCTCTACTCTAGACTTAGAATCAGAATCTCCGGGGTGGGGCTCAGAAATCAAGCTGGCCTCTCCAACTATCTTAGGGATGCTACAAGGCCGAAGGATGCACATGTTAATGAGCACACAAATCCCCCGGGGACCCTGCTGCCAAGCAGATGCTGACTACGTGGGTCTTGGCGGGGCTGGAACTGGGCATTTCCAACAGACTCCAGGCGATGGCCATGCTGCTGGGGAGGGGCCAGGCTTCGAGCAGCCAGGCGCTAGAGTATCCCAGGCAGCACAGGGAAAAGGTCCCGAAAGGGGTAGGCATTTGATTCTGCGGCACAAAACAAAGGAGTCCCAATCTGAGGAGAGTTGGTCTTTTCTGTGGATCAAAATGAATGGTGTCACTCAAATTTCACAATGGGTGCTGGGGCGGGGAGGTGTGTATGTGTGTGTGTGAAATATTTTCACAAACATTTCCACAATGGGTGCTATGGAGTG